AAACAAAAAATGCATTTGTAACTTTCTTACTTGCCATTCAGTACATAATCGGTGCTAGAGGGCCACCTGCTCCTCTTCCAATAAAAAACACAGGGAAGGGAGCATGTATTCCCTTGGGGGTCTGGTTGAACTAGCAGTCCTTTGGAGACCAAGAATCTGACCAGGATTTTCCAATAGTCTGAAGTTCTGCAGAAATACAGAAGGAAAGCCCCATGAATCTCAAGTTATTCATGAGGTCCCTGTGCTGTTTTTGAGCCCCACAAATTACAGCACAACTCATATACTGTATGTTGGATACCAGTGCAGGTTCCTTTCCCTGTACATGCTCAAACTCTGGTGGTATGTGAAAGTTACTGACCCTCAGAGCGACAGTAATTTACAAAGGAAATCACAGTGTCAATGACTTATGACTCCCAGGCATACAGCCCACCTCCCTTCCACACTTAGATGTGTAAAAAGAACTGTATAATACCTGTGGAGGGGCTAGTGGTGGTTATGTGGTAGGGTAAATTATACTTTGTATCTGCTACTTTCTTTCATATTCCCCTTCTGCCTCCCTTTGCACCAACCTTGTGCACTGTTAGGATGTGTGTTCTCCATGGGGAACACATGAGAAGAAGGAAGCACAAGGCCTAAAGTGAGCAAAAGCTGGGCCCCAATGCTTTCTCACTAGTAGTAGTTGAATGCCAGCATTTGGTGGGAACTTCAGAACATTTCTCTCTTCTCAATGAATTGAAACTGCAAGACTGACAGAAGGAAATAAAATCTGAAAGCTCAGTTACATATGGCTCTATCTATATATACACATTAGTATCTGCCAACAGTAGGAAATGCTCAATAGAGGCCTTTGAAGAGGAAAACACCTTGTAATGCAATTGAAATACACTGAACCCCATGGGAACTTTTGGAGAGACAGTGGAACAAATGGCAAATAAATTACTAAAAAATAGGGATTATCTTTCTAAGCAGGAATAGCTGGCAAATGGGCTATCCATCCAAGCCAATCCTGATTATTCATACTTTAACCACCCTCCCTCCCCAATCATCAGTCCTCTGTTGGCAGATTCTCCACTGGAATCTTCACATGCTTTTTTCCCCCATTCACATTTTGAGCACTCGTTACAAAAAATACTATATGAGGAATGCTAGTGCTTTATTCTTAATTATTTGTATTCCAGTAGCATCTTGGAAGCTCCAACCAAAACCAGAGCCCAAATGTAGTAGGGAACATAGAAAGAGCTTCTCATTTAAAGAAATGGGGCTGACAACAGGTAGAAAAAAAAAGCATCAAGTACATTGTACACATTGAGAGCTGTGGCACCAAGAGATTAAGCAATGTCAGAATTGCCAGATGCTCCCGTTGGCTTTCCTTGCTCCTTGCAAAAGGAGTAATACCAGATGCTGGTGGAAGCCGGCCTCAGCGTTGAATTTACAGATCTATACTGGACCCACTAAATCGAACGCTAGATCAACCTCTTGAGTGTCGATCTTGTGGTAAGTATAGACGGGCCCTGAGTAAATTTCTCAGACTTGAAGAGCTCTGTGTAGCTCAAAAGTTTTTTTCTCTGACCAGAAGTTGATCCAATAAAAGATATTACCTCACCTGCCTTGTCTTTATTAATATCCTGGGACCAGCACTGCTACAACAACACTATATACATAAAATCCCCCAGGCAGATCTGCCCCACATCTCATCTCTAATTAGAAGGAAATTAGGGAACCACTCACTGGCAGAGTGTTTAAAGTGCACTGTGTGCTACATTCACACAGAGAATATTTTGTTGTTTGAGTTGCAATAAGGTATTTATGGAATCATTATTCCCTAGCTGTACTCTCCATGCAGAGACACTGCTACAGAAGCAACGTATGACAAAACTTCTTAGGCAGGATATGTAATGAATACTCACAAACCACAGGAAACAAATAAGACAGTCATGATAACAGGTTAGTTTTGTAACATTTTGATTAAAACAGTTCCTTCCTCTGCCTAAACAGTGGTCTCAAAAACTGTGCAATTTAAATGTGGAAGATTTATTAATGTTTGCTGGTTATGTGCTAAGGATGTAAGTGAGTAGTTGACTATCCAATAAGCCTAGGCTTATCGGGTAGGCAAGTTGACTACTCACATTCTCTCTCCCCACTTTGTTGCCTCTATATCAGAAGAAGCAAAGGAAGCAGAAGGAGGTGGGAACCCTCTCTGCGGTGCCACCTGCCCCCCTCGCTGTTGCTCTGCATTTAAAAAGCAGTAGGAGCTAGGTGGGCTGGCAGCCCGGCTCAGTTCTTGCTCGTGCTGGATCTGAGACCAAATTCTGCTGCTGCTCTGCAATTTAAAATGCCATAGGAGTCAGGGGGCAGGCTGTTAGGCTCTAGACTAACTGAAGTGTAGGAGCCACAGGACTCCTCATCGCTATAAGGTGCCACAGGACTTATAAGGTGTGCAACAGGGTTTGGTCCCAGTGTGAGCTGGGACTGAGCTGGCTACTTTCCCTATCGACTAATCGAGTTGTTGATAAAAATTCTATCAATGACTCGATTAGTAAAATAACCATATTTTACCATCCCTATTGTGTGCAACATTCCATAAACATGGAAAAATACAAACAAATCACATACAATAACCAGGTGGAGGGGCCAGACTAGCAGAGGTGAAGTGACTTATTTTTAGTAATACCTTTTCCTCTTTAAAATCCCTCCTCAAAACAACTTTAGTCAGGCTACTCCCATTCCAACTAGATTATCTGGGAATCAGAGAACAATGTTGGATGGTGGAGGAAAGTTCTCCACAGTTAGAAAACAGACTGTCCCAAAATGTTTTACTAAAGTTCTGATCTTATGCACATTTGGGCATGTGCTTATCTTTAAACACGTGGGCAGTTTCACTGATTGTACTGGAACTACTTGTGCTTTAAGTTTAAAACACGTGCCTAAGTATTTGCTGCAGCAATGCCTAGGTTTGAGTTCCAAAAATTTGTTTACACCATTGGCTTTCAATCTCTCCAGACTACTGTATCTACTTCAGTAGTCTGATTTGTCTGAAGTACCACCAAGTAATACATAACTTAAAAAATTATTTGTTTACAAAAATCAGACATGAAAATTCAAAATGTCATGGCATGCTATTACTGGAAAATTGCTTACTTTCTTTCATATAATTATAAAATAAAACAACTGAAATATAAATATTTATAGGGCAGTATAAACAAGATCCAGAACACCTCTATATACCCTCAATGGTGCATGAACTCCTGGATGAGGACTACTGGTCTAAATACAAAAGTTGCACCAGTTTAAGTAAATCTGTTTTAAAACAGACTTATTTAGTTAAACGTACAACTTTGTGTACACTAAGCCATAGCATAGTGAACTGCGGCTGTACACTAGGGATGTTAAAATGTGTTTTTGTAAATGTGTAACTGCTGACATTTTTGGTTACATGTTTACACCTGGGAGGGAGGAAGAAAATGCTCCATGGAAGCCAGTAAGCACTGGGAGCTGGCTTTTAAGCATACCAGTTCTCACCTTCCCCCTCTTCCCTCCTGCGCTACAAAGGCAGCAGCCAGTAAGCATGGGGAGCCAGTTTAAAAGCCAGCTCCCCACAGGTACTGTCTCCTGTCTCCCCCACATCTTGCTGCCTCTGATACAGAGGCAGCAAGTGGTAGGTGGGGGACTTGTGTGTCACTGTGAAGGTTAACCATTTCTGTTTAAACATGCACATTATCGCGTCCCTACTACACATCATGGTTGGCAGAGGGAGGCAGACGCTTCAGAGCCCATTGGCAATAATCAAATACTTATATTCTATTAATATTATTGAAAGATTTTGCAAAGAGGGTATGAAAGAAAAGAAGGAGCCTATCACACGGGGAATTCTGAGGTAACTTCTTTTGACATAAACACTTAGGCTATGTTTACATTGGCAAGATTTTGCGCAAATACTCTTTAACGCAAGAGTTTTTGTGTTAAGAGTATTTGTGCAAGAGAGTGTCTAAACTGGCATGTGCTTTTGTGCAAAAGCATCCGTGCCAGTGTAGACGCTCTCTTGCGCAAGAAAGCTCTGATGGCCATTTTAGCCATCAGGTTTTCTTGCGCAAGAAATTCATGTTGCCTGTCTACACTGGCCTCTTGCGCAAGAACACTTGCGCAAGAGGGCTTATTCCTGAGCAGGAGCATCAGAGTTTTTGCACAAGAAGCACTGATTTTTTACATTAAAATGTCAGTGTTCTTGCGCAAGAATTCGTGGCCAGTGTAGACAGGCAGCAAGTTTTTGCGCAAAATCTTGCCAATGTAGACACAGCCTTATTCCATTAAAAGGAAAAACTCTCCATTGAGGTAGGGGGTCCACTGATATTTTGAAACTACAAGTATTGAAATAGTCCATTTCAGCAACTCCTTTTCAGCCATAAATAAGGTAGACATTTTTAACAGTGAGAGTAATTAACCTTTGGAACAAATTACCAAGGGTTGTGGTGGAGTCTCCATCACTGGCAAGTTTACAATCAAGACCAGGAAGACCAGAGCTGTGGCCTTGTGTGATGAAGGAGGGCAGAGAGCTGATCAGACTGGTTTGGCTTTAGAATCTGTAACAACCCAAGAAACAGAATCATACTTTAGAGACTAAACTTTCTCCTGACGTGGTGGTGGGGGATACCCCCTTCCAGGAAGCCCTACATACTGGAGCTCTGTGCAACTCCTGCCCCCAGCTGCAGAAATCCCCCAGCTGCCCAGCCTTGCCCCTGAGCAAGCCCAGCTGCAGACCCCCCTCGCCAGGCATCAAGCTAGCCCCAGGCCTCTGACTCCTGAAGCCACCAGTAAGATGGGTGGTACCAAGGCCTGGCAGAGGACACTTGACACCCATTGTCCCTGCCTCCTGGTGACCCCTGGGGAGTGAGTGCCTGGAGACCAGCGCTTCGTTTAGCATGAGAGAGGTGCTGGGGCTCAAGCAGGGGTTTTCACGTCCCTAACTGAGGCGGCAGCCAAAGGTGTCGGCCTATCAGCTGCCGGGCCAGCCCTGGCACAAAGTGAACCGGGGAAGAGCTTTCTGCCGCGAGGAGGCCGAGCTGCGGCTGGCCAGGGACCGCGCCCCGCTGGGCGAGGAGAAGGAGGAAGCAGCAGCAGACGTCGGCTCCAGCGGGACTAGTAGCGACCTGCTCCGGGCGGAGGAGGCAGCGCAGCAGGGCGCGGGAAGCTGCAGTGCCCGCCTCCCTCTGATCTGAGCGCAGGTGAACCCGCCTGCAGCTGCCGCCGGCTCCTCTCCCAGCCAGCGCGTCAGGGCGAGCGGCCTCGGGGCCCTGCGACCCGCCGGGGAAGGTGCGTGAGCCGCTTCTCTCTCCTGCTCTGCTGAGCCAGCCGCGCGGGCCCCTGGGGCGACGCCGGGGCTGGGTACTAGTCGGGGCGGGCCCCAGTGCTGAGCCGGGAGCGCTGCCCTCCCAGCCTACCTGAGCGTGCACAGGCACGAGGAGCCCCCTTTCCTGGGGGTTCATGCCTGCCTATGGCTCACGTGATAAATATGGTACCGGCCCCCGAACTCCAGTGCGATCAGTTTGTGCCATTCTGTTGTCTCTTGCACCTGCTTGGTTGTATTTGTGGTGTGATGCAGTTATCCCTAGCACAGTCCCAGTGGTACATTCAATCTTTCAAGTCCCAATATGCCATATATAGATTTAGCATTGCTCATCGCAACTCCACCGTCTCTCACTGTGCCTCGCCCCAGCCACTGTCCCTGCCCCCGAGCAAGCAACATTCCCGCTGTCTGGTTACTATGGGCCTGATTTTTCAAAGGTACAGAACATGTGCAGTTCTCCACCTTATTTCCTTTTCAGGCCAGGATCTACCTCTCTCCAGCTCACCACTCTATCATTCCCCAGAGGGTAGGCTTCTCTGGTCCTCGGGATTCAGCTTTCTGACTCCAGAGCAAGCAGGTGTCTCCTGCAGCTTCTCATCACAACCTTCTGTTCTCTCTGGCCTTGGCAAGTTTGTAGGAGACTGCTCTCCTGTCTTTTGCTTTAGGTAGCCTGAGCCGGCTGCATTGCTCACTATTCCTGTTCACTACTGCAGTGCTCACTACTACTCACCAACCCCGCATTTAAGGAAGCTGTCAACTTTTAGACAAAGTCTACACTGGTACTTTAGAGGGCTGGAATTTTCGGGTTCAGGTGTATAACAGGTCCCCTCCCCAGCACAGCAAATTATGGTCCAGTAAAGTGCTAGTGTGAACCAAGCTATTCTTAGCTACTCCTCTTACAGAGGTGCTTTACACAGAACACTGGGGGAGATCTCTCCTAGCACTTGTGCCATAGCCACATTTTCAGTTTAAAGTGCTGCTCAGACTGGAACTGGAGTGCTGGGCTCCATTTCACTTCAGGAGTCTGCTACCATACCGAAAGATTCCTTTTTGCAAAAGAGAGACAAGAATAGAATGAAGAAGAGAAGAATGAAGAAGAGAGACATGTACATCAGGATAGTGGAAAGATAAGATCAGCCTGCCCCTTGGATATAAATGCACAAAATAGTATGATTCAAAACCTGTGAGTGATACAGAGTGATCCATGCCGTTCTAAGAAGGCCTTATACAGTTCTGATACTTTTTGTACTTCCAGGACAGTAATTGGAAAATCAATGGTTGTGTCTTTTGAGAAGCAAAATATAAGCTAGTTGGAAAGCAGAGCCCATTCATACATCTTTGAAAGATATCAAGGACAAAATTTTGAAATGCAACTACTGTGGATTTTTTAAATTTTTAATTTATTTTTAATGCAATGGTCCCGAAAGGATTTTCACATTTTTCTAAGTGCGTAAGTCCATCCATAATGTAAGTTGAAATTAACAGGAGCTGTGAATAATACTTCTGAAAATCAGGCCCAAAGTATCTTTATTTGGCCACCCAAAAACAGGCATGCAAAATGAGTAGCACTTTTGGAAAAAGAAAAGCAACTTTACCAGTGTCTGGTTACAATGGGCCTGATTTTTCAAAGGTACGGAACATGTGCAGTTTCCATTGATTTCACCTGGAATTGTGAATGTCTAATACCTCTGAAAGTCAGGTCTGATTTGCCTGCGTGTTATAATAAAATACAGATCTTCTGCAAAGGGAAAGTGAATGTGTTTCACACCCACTTTCCCACATCTTTAATTTCCTTTTAACACATTGAGGGTGCATCTACACAGCAGGGCTTAGCTCAATCTGCATAGCTTATTTCAAGTTATGTCAATCACGTAGCTTATTTTGAAATTGGAAATGTCTACACTGCACTTATTTCAAAATAGAGCACTCTTCCTCTGACTTCCCTTACTCCTCATACAATGAGGGTTACAGGAGTTAGAGTAAGAAGTCTTCCAGCTTGACAGTATTAAAACATTATTTCTAATAATGGCCTGCTGTGTAGACACGGGCTAAGTTATTTTGAAATAATGCTAGTTATTTCAAAATAATGTTGCTGTGTAGATGTACCCTGAGATTTGTGTCTCTACAAATGTATTCAGGAATGTATTCTATGTTATAGCACTTGTGTAACATGCAATTTTTAGTATGATCATGTGTTGGAATGGAGGACTTACTAATACACTTGTCAAGCATGTACTCCTCTCCTTCAGTCACAAAAGATTCATAAGGCTTAAAGCTAAGATGAACTAGGTGGGCCAGAATTTTCTTGGGCGGTATTCTGTTAGAATAAGTTCTTATTTGAACTCATTCATGTGGCCGTTTGCTGTCTCATGCTCTTCAGAAATACTTTTTATTAGAGATATTAGATATCATGTAATTGAATAGTTGTATAACTATGACATCTTAGGCCGTGGGGGTGGGGCTGGCAGCCAGTGCACTCTGGCCCCACTCCCAGGGAGCCCCTGCCACCCCATGCTGCTGCCTGTTTCAGAGGCAGCATTGTGGGGTGGCAGGCAGGAACTGATCTGCCAGGGGAGCCAGTTTAAAAATTAGCTCCCCACACAGACTGGCTACGTGCCAGTCTGTGCTGATGCCTCTGATACGGAGGCAGCAGTGTGGGGGTGACAGCAGCCCCTCTCCAGGGGATGCTGGAGCTGCCTGTGTCCACAGGGAGCTCTGACTCCCCATGGATAGGGGCTGCTGCCACCCCACACTGCTGCCTCCGTGTCAGAGGCAGCAGCGCCGACTGAAGTTGCCCTCCCTGCCTGATAGAGGCAGCAGCATAAGTGGGGGCAGATGGCACCATGGAGCAGGTCTTGGCCAGTAGAAGTTTGCAAATTCATACTAAATCTCTGGATTGCCTAGCCTTGTTCCTTGGCATTCAAACTATTGTTAATGGAATACAAATAACGTAGCAAAACAGACAAAAAGAAATTACAAATGTGGGCTGGGAAGAAACAGCCTAACATTGATCATACTTGGGAGATATCTGTCATTAGAGCACATGTGAATTCCTCTGATTTGGTTTATAGTATAATTTTGCATGTTGCATTCTTTAATAAAATAAAAACAAATCAGTATAGAAAGTAACTTATAAGACCAAGTTTATTCTTGATATAATTACCCAAGCACATAGATGCACTAGGGATTCATTTATTCATTTCTGCTCCAGAGACTAGTAAAGCTTTTACTTTCTTTGTGTGAAAGTTGAAAGGTGGGTCTGGTCATTTACGCCTTTCCCTCCAATTGCGAGAGGTTGAAGGAGGAGGGTGATAGCACACTAAAGAAGTGACAGCTGTAGGAGGAAAATATCTCACTTGTAAAAAGGACCAAGTCATTAGAATCCTCAGATGTAATAAATAATAGAAGGTGCTGTGTGGCCTACACATGCATTCTTGTCTGTCACACACTGTTTTTCAGTAATGTTAGATATTTGTTTCTGTGAACATGGAGGAATCTCAAAATGTGAAATTCAGTAGAAAACTTTTTAAAGGTGACCTGAAGTTGGCTATGTTTCCTTCCTAATGGATGCGATAAAATCTTAACTACCTCCTCTGTATTGTTCTAAACTCTAGTTTCTTGATGAAGGAAAACTTCCTAAAGTTGAAATTCCTTATAATGAGAGGCTATGTCTACACTACAAGGTTTTTGCGCAAAAACCGGCGGAGTGTCCACACTTCAAGTGTATTTTTGTGCAAGAAAATCAACAGAACCAGAGGGCTTTTGCTGGTAGAGTTATTCCTCTCCCCACAAGGAATAAATCCTTTTTGCGCTTTCATGTCCTTTGAAAATGTAGAGGTAAAATTTGTAAAAAGTGACTAGCGATTTTTGGGTGCCATAACTTAAAAGAGGATTTTTTTAAAAAAAATGTCCTCTTCCTCACAGGGCCAGTGCTCAGTATTTTCTAAAATGAGGTCCCAATTAAGGTGTCTCTGCTTGAACACCCAAAAATTGGAAGACGGAATCATTAGTTGGTTTTGAAAAATTAGGCCTTATTTTTTTAAATGGGTGATGGTCTCCATTAAAATGTCAATGTTTAAAAACAGGTATCAGATGTCATACAGTTTTCTCCTGTATTTAGAATAGAAAGCTTATGGGGTAACTGGTAACAATTGGCAAATAGTCATTTTTAAATTTTCTACTGTCCTATCACAGATGGAGTGTTAAGAGAGACAATGTAGGCACAGTAGTATTTTTTTATTGGGCCCGCTTCTATAGAGAAAGAGACAAGCTTTCAAGCATCACTGAGCTTTTCCTCAGGCCTGGAAAAGGTAACCAGTGTCTAAGCCAGGGGCGGGCAATAATTTTTGGTGGGGGGCCACTCCAAGATTTTGGTAAGTGGTCAAGGGCTGCACTTTTCTATGGAGAGGGTGCAGAGTCGAGGTTGGGTGCAGAAGGGCCGCCCAGATGGAAGGATGAAATGCCCTAGGAAGGCTAGAGGAAGGAACACGAGATTTTGATTTTAATGATTTGTTTGTTCACTCTTTGTGGGCATTATGAAGGAAGCCTTAGTGGGGACAGGAAGAAGGATGGCTTAATGAACCAGTTTGGGGAGCATTTCATGCATAGGGGTTTAGAAAAAGACACATATTTAGAGGTTTAAGCCTAAGATGTTGTGATTATTACAGACATTTTCAAAAAGAGAAAATTAACAAATCTATTTCGATAAGTTAAAAATATATTTAATGGAAGTTTTTGGCACCAATGGAAATATCTTTTTCTTCAAAGGCCAGAAATTGTATTTGATTTTTACCTTCATTCTTCTCTTGTAGCTCCAGGCAGGTCTGTTTTTGTCAGAGTGTTTCAGCATGGACAGTAGCATCAAATAAGGATTGGTGTGTAGATGTGATGGGTTAATTTTGTATTTTCAAGTGAGCAAGCCCTGGATTCTTCTCTCACCTGGCAACTCCCTGACATGTTTTGAAAA